TGTGGATCATTTTAATTGTTCCTGGAAAGTTCACCTTTCGCGTTCAGAGCACACCTGGAAATCCCACCAATTTCTTCCTCCATAGAGGCACCCAGGGATCTGGCAGTGGAAACACAAATCTGACACCTGCCTTAATGGAAATAGAGTGATCAGGTTTTAAACAGAATTCCCTGCTGAAGTCAATATGCCATAAGCACCAAATTGCCTGTAGGACAAATTATAAAACTACAAGCTAGACAGCTGTCCTACTATTGCTCATAAAATGAAACCAATTCTATAAAACTGCTATTTATTATTAATAATATTAAATATTTATCATTATACCAGATGTATGAAAATTGTAACAGAGAGTTTTGCTCTTTGCTTTCATATTGGCAACAAGCCCATTTTCAAAAGTTATAAACAATAACAAAATTAGTCTATGGAGATAAGACAATTATAGGACTAAAGCTGGGCTTTTTGAGACAGTATACTACCATAGAGCTAAAAGACTTTCTTTGTTAGTCCAAGACAGTGGACTGTAAGAGCAGATTGTAGAGTTTCAGGGGGGAGAAGAAATCTGCTAAATTCCAACCTACAGATTTCACCTGGAGCTGGAACAACTTAATCACCCTAAAGCAAACATTGGCTTGTCTGCTAATATTGTACAACTTTATAATTTTCTGATTAGACTATAGATCCATAATGGTAAAAAACCATACTGTACAAAAATTAATCTACAGAACAACACAGGATAAAGCAACATCCCAATGGGAATATTAATATTTTTTTCAGTTGTTGTCAAAGCCACCAGTAATATCTTAAAGCAGCAGTGTTTAAATGGTCTTTTACACCTGACAAAAAAAGTCTGCTTTTGGATCTTGATATTGCCCACTTTGGAAAGTGATAGTATCACCATATGAATAGCTAATCCAGTGCCCACCTGGTGCTCATCCCCTTCTGAAATCTGGCCAGACTATCACCTTCATTCTGGCAACAAAATACTAATTCACATCCCTAATTGCACTGCTGCCTCAAGACAACCACTTGCAAATAATACACTCCTTGCAAAGCCATTGGAAAAGTTCAGACACATTACTAGGAAAGGGAAGGCAATTGCATTGCTTTGATCCATGTTTTTCACATAGGGGCCAAGTTCTGCAAGGCAGGAGACATGTCTTAGGCCACTCACTCCTTCCTGCTCAGGCTCTAGTCCTACTCTGACTTACTGGTGAGCTAAATCAACAGGAGGAATGGGAAGAAAGAAGCTTTTCTGGGTGGGTTATCAAGCTAAACTGGTTTCCAGGGAATCAGACGTGCACCAAAAAGGGGCAGAGCCAGCCAGATGTGAACAGCAGCTCGGAGGTGGGACAGTCCCTGCTGTTGGCAGCTGTCTCAGCCACAGCTCAAACCCCCCACCTCAATGGTCTGTATGGTGTCTGGCACTGCAAATGGGAGATTTGATATACTGAACATTTTCTAGGAAAAAACTCAAACCAGAGCACCACTTAAGCTAGAAATCTATCTTTGAAACAATGCAAATCTGCTAATCCCAGTCCCTTTCATGCAGCCACACAAGCAGAGAACCTGATTTACTTTACAAAAGAGGCTAAAAAAGCAGAGTTCATATTATATTTAATTTCCCCAACTCATTCAATGATCAAATGCATGAGAGTCCTGAATTGTATCCTGCAAGCTCAGGTTTCCATCTGAAGGAATGACAGGTTATAACAGATGATGATGGCCTGACACCATTCACTCTGGAGCTGGCAGGCCGGAGGAAGCCCTCTCCCAGTGTGCAAGCTCAAGAAACAGAGATGCCAGACCTGAGGTGTGGAGGCCAGGGAACCGGCCAGTTCAGAAATCCTGGCTCTCCCCTGGATAGCTTCTCCCTAGGTGAGACACTTTTATGTCATGCAGAGAAAAAGTGTCACTCCCAGAGGCCCTAGAGTTGAACATGTTAATTTGTTACACCCCATTGGTTTCCCTCCCTATCAATCCACCCCGATACATGTATCCAAGCTTCCCCTGCCCCTCTCCTTCTCTATAAATACCCCGGTTTTTTCCCCAGTTGAGGGAGCTGCTGTCACTGAGGGCCCTGCTATAATAAAGGCTATTTCTCAGTGGAATGCCATACAGCTCTCTAGTCTCTCTCTCCGCATTGCCTGCACGCTGTCGCTGAGCTGAAATCACTCACCGGGCAGAGGACGTGCTTGTGCACCTGGGCAGTCCTTTTCAGGACAGCTTCTTCAGGGTAGTCGCGGCACCCCTGTCATTGACACCACCACGACAAGTGGCACCCAGCGTGGGGCACCCGAAGAGCCCCTGAAGAAGCATCCGCCTACAGTTTTAACTGCAGAGCATGCCGCTGTTGGAGCTGCCACCCCCCGAGGAGAACCACTTGCGTTCTAGCAAGGCTAGAAGGGCTGCGACCGGGACCCTCGCTGACCATCCGGGCTAAGAAGACAGAAGATAGAAGAGCCCTTGAGGACCGGCCGCCAGGTAACCACCCACCCACCAGCTTTCTGTTGGCCTCATCGGCATCGGCCGAAGAAAAAGTGTGAGTCACCCCATTAAGGGTTTTTTGGGCTTTTCTCATTTTCGTTTGCATTTTGCTGCTGGGTGGGGAGTGAGAAGGATGAGGAATCAGCTTTCCAGACCCAAGCTGACCCCTCCTGAGAGGGACTTTTATATCCAAGTTGTGGGCACCCTCAAAGCAGGAAATTTTAAGTTTTCAAAAGGGGAGTTAAAGAGATTTATTCATTGGATTGTTAAACATTTTAAAGTTGATTCTACTTCTGTTAAATCGGGAAAATTTTGGGACAATGTGGGGAGAAAGTTATATACTGCTCAGGCAGGGGGAGATTTATCAGTTTCCAAGTTTTTTCCTTTGTTTCAAACCATTATACTTTCTGTTGAGAAAGTGGGAAAAAGGGTTGATGAAGTTTTGGGCCCCCAGTTGAAACCCCTGTCCCCGTTACCCTCTCCAAGTGTTCCTAAACCCTCTTCCCTACCTGAGGGACAGTTGGCGGGTGGACGTAGCCACCAGGCACAGGGTTGCTGCCGTCTCCCTGATCCCCCCCCCACCGCCTCTCTACCCTTACCAGGACAGAACTGGCCATGCCGCTCTGGACCTTTCCTCCACCCTCCTCCCTATGCCCACATACCCGGTTGCATCCCCCCCAGTTCTTAATGTTAGTAAAGATGGCACCGGCAACGTGGCCAGCCCCGCCATCTTGTCTCCTTCACACCTAGGTTTTCCCGCCTTTGCATCTCAAAATGGCCACTTTCCCGCCTCTACCCCTTCTCTTCCTGTCGCGCCCTGCTCCTCTTCCCCTCCCATCGCGTCGCTGGGTGTAACCGCGTCGAGCCCCTCCTCTTCCATCGGGAAACCCCTGCCCGTCGCGGACCCCAGTCACGCCCCTTCCAACCAGAGCTCCGCCCCCAATAGCATTCCCACCACCAATCCCCCCAACACTGGGACTGGAAGTGGTAATTACAGCAACAGGAAGGAAGCCATCTTGGCTTCCTCAGCCACTCACAAGTGAGCCAGTACCGGTTGCCCGAAATGGCCACGCACTGTCATCAAGCGCCCCCCATCTCCTCCAAGAGATGAGGACAGTGAGTCCTCATATTCAGAATCTGAATATGAGGACCACTGGGCCAAGGTACAGAGGGAAGCCACGCGGGCAGGGAACTCAGCCCTGTCCAGAAAGATCTTAGCTTTCCCCGTAGTACATAAGAAGGACAGGGCAGAGGCACTCATTAATGTATGGGAGACCCTACACTACAGGGAGTTACAGGAGCTGTGCAAAGCCGCTGAATAGCATGGCCGGGGCTCTCATTTTTTCAAACACCTACTGGAAGCCACCTTCACCACCCATGACATGGTGCCTCATGATATTAAAAATATCATGAACTGCGTTCTCTCTCCAGCAGAATACATGCTATGGGAAAGGCAGTGGAAAAAACATCTGAAACAGTTGGCAGATGCATGTGCCAAAGATGCCAACAAACCAAATTTAACTCTAGAACAACTGGCAGGAGAAGGTGATTTCCAGAAGCCTCAAGATCATGCCTGAGAGCTGCCCGAGGCAGCCCTACATGACATTGCCCATGCCGCCAAGATATCTCTTTTTACCACCCCTGATGACAAAGTGCCAATGCAGTGCTTCACCAGCATCAAACAAGGGGCAAGTGAATCCTTTATCAAGTATGTAGATAAATTAAAATTGGCCATTGAAAAGCAAATAGAGAGCCCTCAGGCACAAAAGGAATTATTAGTAAAAATAGCAATGGCCAATGCTAATTCGGAGTGGAAAGCAGTCTTAGGGGCCCTTCCACTTGACCCTGAACCAACCATAGATCAGATGGTTGAAGCCTGCATCAAGCACTCCTCTGCCTTAAGTGAGAA